TTAAAATAGTCTAAAAATGGTTCAAAATAGCCTAAAAAGGACCAAAAGTTGGCTTGAAATGGTCCGCAGCAGGCTTAAAATGACCAGAAAATAGGCTTAAAATCACCCAAACGGGGTCTAAAATAAGCCTTGAAATGACCTGAAATCAGCTAGAATGACTAGAAATATTCACTGAAAATCGGTTCTGAATTGTCCGAAAATGCTCAAAAATTGTCTTAAAATGGTCCAAAATATGCTTAAAAATGACCTAAAATGGTCCGGAACAGGCCTAAAATGGCCAAAACCGGGCTTAAAACAGCCGGAAATAACTCAAAATAGGACTAAAATAAGCCTGAAAATGGCTACAAATGGGCCAAACTAGGCTTAAAATGACTAGAAATTGACTTAAAATAGAGGCCTAAATGGCCTAAAGCAGGGTTACAATGCCTCAAAAAAAAACACATGAAAAATGACCCAAAACTGGCTTAAAAGCTACCCAGAAATAGAGCAGAATAGGCTTAAAACTATCTGAAAATGGGCGTAAAACGGGCCAAAATAGCCTAAAAAGGACCCAAAGTTGGCTAAAAACGACTTAAATTAGGCCAATAATGACTACAATTATGCAAAAAATGACCCAAAAACAGGCTTGAAATCACCCAAACTATCTGAAAATGGGCGCAAAATGACGTAGAAAACCACGGAAACCAGCCTAAAACAGCCTAAAATAAGCCTAGATTTGCAGCGATCGCTGGAATCGAAGCTCGAAGGACTCCAGGAGCAGAACAAGGAGCTCGCCGACGCCTACACGGAGCTAAACACGGAATTCGAGCAGTTCAAACAGCAGAACAACGTCGTCGTCAACGCGAACAGCGATCTGAATCGCCGCATTGACTCGTTGAAGGCGAATTTGATTGAGTACGAAGAGAGATACGAGTTGTGTAAGAAGGAGAACGCCGAGACGGTTGCTCAGTTGGAACGGCTCTCTAACGATTTTGCGAGGTGAGAAATGGCTCAAAATGACCCGAAATCCATG